GCCAGGCTGGTCTTGAACTCCTGACCTCAGGTGATCGACCCGCCTCAGCCTCCCAAAGTGCTGGGATTATAGGCATGAGCCGCCACGCCTGGCCTTATTTATTTGTGAGACAAGAGTCTCACTCTGTCTCCCAGGCTGGAGTGCAGTGGTGCGATCTCTGCTCACAGCAACCTCCGCCTCCCAGAGGTCAAGTGACTTTCCTGCCTCAGCCTCCCAACATACTGGGGTTATAGGCATGAGCCACCGCGCCCAGCCCACAAACATTTTCATTATAGGCCCAGATAGTAAGTGTTTTAGACTTTGTGGGCCACGTTGGGTCTCTGTTACTTTTTTTTTTTTTGAGATGGAGTCTTCCTCTCTCACCCAGGCTGGAGTGCAGTGGCACGATCTCGGCTCACTGCAACCTCTGCCTCCTAGGTTCAGGTGATTTTCCTGCCTCAGCCTCCCCAGCTGGAACTACAGGTGCATGCCACCACGCCCAGCTAATTTTTGTATTTTTAGTAGAGACAGGGTTTCACCATGTTGGCCAGGCTGGCCTCAAACTCCTTGATCTACTAAACATTTGTTAGGTGCCTGTTCCGCTAGGGAAATAAACATCAACAGGAGTTCACTGTATTTTAAACACCCGTGCAAGGCTCCACTGTTGGGCCAAACCCTTGCTGGGGAATTTGGTGTGTGCAATTTTTTGCTACATAATGAAAGCCCTGCCTGAATGCCCTTCACCAGACTGTGAGTTTTTTTTTCTTGCAGCCAGACTATGAAATAGTACTGAGAGTTTCAGTGTCTTGTGTTCTTTTCCCATCATTCCTTGTACTTGTAGAAACAGGTAGTTTGTATATATTCTAAGAGGCAAGTGATAGAATGGCCTTGGGTACATTTTGTAATGGAGCTATCAACAGCAGTCTTCTTTGAATACACATAGCTCTTCTCTTCCCCTGTACATACACAGGGTTAATTTTTTGGCATTTTTCTAGATTTTTATGGGGGGATGGCTATGTAAGTATAAGAAGGTTTGTTAAATGATTGTTTTAAAACTGTGGTTCTGGGCCAGGCGCAGTAATCCCAGCACTCGGGAGGCTGAGGTGGGCAGATCATCTGAGGTCAGGAGTTTGAGATCAGCCTGGCCAACATGGTGAAACCCTGTCTCTACTAAAAATATAAAAATTAGCCGTACATGGTGGTGCGCACCTGTTGTCCCAGCTACTTGGAAGGCTGATGCAGGTGAATCACTTGAACCTGGGAGGTGGAGGTTGGGGTGAGCTGAAATCATGCCGTTGCACTCCATTCTGGCCAACAAGAATGAAACTCCATCTCAAAAAAAAACTGGGCCGGGCATGGTGACGCATGTCTGTAATCCCAGCAACTTGGGAGGCTGAGGCAGGAGAATTGCTTGAACCCAGGAGGCGGAGGTTGCAGTGAGCTGAGATGGCGACATTGCACTCCAACCTGGGTGATAGAGTGAGACTCTGTCTCAAAAAAAAAAAAAAACCAAAAAAACAGAAAAGTTCTCAGCCAGGTGCGGTGGCTCATGCCTGTAATCCCATCAGTTTGGGAGGCTGAGGCGGGCAGATCACCAGGGGTCAAGAGTTCAAGACCAGCCTGGCCAATGTGTCGAAACCCCGTCTCTACTAAAAATACAAAAATTAGCCTGGCATGGTGGCGTGCACCTATAGTCCCAGCTACTTGGGAAGGTGAGGCAGGAGAATCGCTTGCTGGGAGGCGGAGGTTTCAGTAAGCCAATATTGCACCACTACATTCCAGCCTGGGAGACAGACTCCATCTCAAAAAACAAACGAAAAACAAAAAAACTGTAGCTCTTATGGTCCCCTGTCTTAGGGGACACTTAGCAATGTCTGGATACATTTTTAGGTGTGAAAACTGACCGGTATGGTGCCACGCACTGTGGCTCATGCCTGTAATTTCAACACTTTTGGGAGCCCAAGGCGGGCAGGTCACTTGAGGTCAAGAGTTCAAGAACAGCCTGCTCGAAATAGTGAAACCCCTTCTCTATTAAAAGTACAAAAAATTTAGCTGGGCTTGGTGGCGTGTGCCTGTAATCCCAGCTACTCAGGAGACTGAGGCAGGAGAATCACTTGAACCCAGGAGGCAGAAGTTGCAGTGAGCCAAGATCGCGCCACTGCACTCCAGCCTGGGCAACAGCGAGACTCAGTCAAGGGGGAAAAAAAAAGAAAGAACAGGCCAGGCGCAGTGGCTCACGCCTGTAATCCCAACACTTTGGGAGGCCGAGACGGGTGGATCACGAGTTCAGGAGTTCAAGACCAGCCTAGTGAAACCAACATAGTGAAACCCTGTCTCTACTAAAAATACACACAAAAAAAACTAACTGGGCATGGTGGCAGGCGCCTGTAATCCTAGCTACTCTGGAGGTTGAGGCAGGAGAATTGCTTGAACCTCGGAGTCAGAGGTTGCAGCAAGCTGAGATGGCGCCACTGCACACCGGCCTGGGTAATAGTGCGAGACTCCGTCTCAAAAAAAAAAAAAGGGCGGGGGATTGCCGGTGGCATACTAGATGGCTGTTAAACATCCTGTAGTGTGCAGGATAGCCCCCCAAACAATTATCTGGTCCAAAATCTAGTCTCCTTAGATTCCCACTCTTTGATTATAAAGAAAGTGTACTTTTTAGTGACTTGGTAAAGTCACCTGTTCAGGGTTTTTTTTCCTCATGGTGGATGGGGCTTATATCCAAGTTCCCTCGGGAGGCATACCAGGGTCCCAGACGGCTGTTGGACTACCCGAAATGGGTACTCGATTTCTCCTCTGGTGTCTGGCCAACACCCATGCTGCTCCTGACCATTTTCCCTTCATTTCCTGCTCCCTGCTGCCCCAGGATTACATAGCAGTGAAGGAGAAGTATGCCAAGTACCTGCCTCACAGTGCAGGGCGGTATGCCGCCAAACGCTTCCGCAAAGCTCAGTGTCCCATTGTGGAGCGCCTCACTAACTCCATGATGATGCACGGCCGCAACAATGGCAAGAAGCTGATGACTGTGCGCATCGTCAAGCATGCCTTCGAGATCATACACCTGCTCACAGGCGAGGTAGGGCTCTGTGGCCTGGTGAGGGCAGGCTGTGCCCTCAGTACATCCCAAAGCCCCACGGTGTGTATGCCAGGCTTATCCCCTGTGTGGTGCGTTCACTCTTGTTTTAGGGGTGAGGAAGGGGGAGGAATGCATGGGGCTGGATGTCAGGCTCATAGCCCCCTTCTCTCTAGAACCCTCTGCAGGTCCTGGTGAACGCCATCATCAACAGTGGTCCCCGGGAGGACTCCACCCGCATTGGACGTGCCGGGACTGTGAGACGACAGGCTGTGGACGTGTCCCCACTGCGCCGTGTGAATCAGGTGAGCCTGGGGCTTACGCACGTGGCAGGGTGGACACAGCCGTGGGAGTGGGTGGGGTCTTCCCTGGGGCAGGAAGGCTTGTCTCTGCCTACATGTTTTACCTGCAGCATCACTTCCTCTAGGAAGCCTTCCTGGATTCCCACCCTGCATAGGGGCAGATCCAGGCTCTGGGTCCTCTTCTGGACCACATTTCGCAGAGGTCTTTCCTTTGGGTGTATATTTTTACACTGTGTGTGTATATTTACTTTTTTCTTTTTTTTTTTTGGATAGTTTGAGAATCAGTTGCAGATACTCCGATTGTGTTTCCCCTGAACACAGCACGTGTTTTAACAAAGATGACCTACTCGCATCGTCACCCCCAGGAACAAATTTAACAGTAATAGAATAGTCAAATCAGTCATTGTTGCATTTAGCATCTGTGCCCAGAATGCCCTTTATAGTGGCTCATTGTCAATCGGGTCCAAGTTAAAAGCAAATATATTGCCTCTTTTTTTTTTTTTTTTTAAAGAAGTAATTGAGATCGAGTCTGTGTTGCTCAGGGTGTTGTTGAACTCCTGGTCTCAAATTATCCTGTCCCCTCAGCCTCCCAAAGTGCTAGGATTACAGGCATGAGCCACCACACCTGGCCGCATTTTTTGTTGTTGTTGGGTTTCTTGTTGTTTGTAGAGGTGGGCTTTCACCACGTTGCTCAGGCTGGTCTCAAACTCCCTGCCAAAGTGATCTTCCTGCCTCAGCATCCCAAAGTGTTACAGGCGCAAGCCACCGCGCCTGGCCATCTAGCAGTTTGCTGTTGAGACGGATCTCAATCTCCTGTCATTGGGGATGCAACTTCAGCCTGTGTGTGTGTGTCTGGACACTTGCTCTTGTGACCCTCTGTCTGATTGCAAATCTGGCATGATGTCACCTCCCCTTACCTCTTGTCTCAGTGGACCTATGGGTGACATGGCTGACAGCGTCTCTTGGGGGTGGGCCCACGGTGCTGGGAGGACCGCAGTCTGTCCTTTTAGCCTGACCCCTGCTCTCTCCCTAGGCCATCTGGCTGCTGTGCACAGGCGCTCGTGAGGCTGCCTTCAGGAACATTAAGACCATTGCTGAGTGCCTGGCAGATGAGCTCATCAATGCTGCCAAGGTGGGTGAGGGCACTCTGGTTGGGGGGTCTTAAGTTCGGTGTTTGTGGGGGTCCTTCAGAATTCAGAGCTGACTGTCTGTCTCCTTGCAGGGCTCCTCCAACTCCTATGCCATTAAGAAGAAGGACGAGCTGGAGCGTGTGGCCAAGTCCAACCGCTGATTTTCCCGGCTGCTGCCCAATAAACCTGTCTGCCCTTTGGGGCAGCCCCACCCACCTTTGCCGTTGTCTGTCTTCGTTGGGGGTGGTGTGGGTGGCATAGTCCTGGTGGCCTTGGGAGCTGCTCACCTTCCTGACCTGTTTGCCTGTGGGGACCTGGAAGCATTGCTGACTCAGAACCGTGGCACCCCAGGGCTAGCAGGTGGGGCACCGGAAGCAGGCCAGGCTGCCTGGAGTGTCCCAGCAGGTACTGGAAATGAGATGGGGTTGTCCATAACTTCTGAGGGCGTGGCGTGTGAGATGTTGCTGTGGTCTGGGTGGGTGGGTGGCTTGGGTGCCTGTGAGGTCTGGGTAGTCACAAGACCATCCTGAGAGGCTTGTCACCTTGAAGTAGCCCTGGGGAGAGCAGGGAAGTTCAGCTGTTGGGGCCACTTGATTTCAGATCTCTAGCTTTGCCCCCCTCTTGGAGTGTGGGCTGGTTTCACCCTGGCTAGGTTGCACTCCTGGTTACCTCCCCGGCCACACTGGTTGTGGCTGCAGCCCAGGCCTGTACGCCCGGTTTCCGTGGGCTGTACGGGTTCCCTTCCGCCAGTGTCCATGCAGTGTCATCAGGCTGCTGGGGACAGGTTGGGACCCACCCAGGGCCACAGGCTGGTGACTCTGGTAGAAGACTCATCAGGTTCTGAAGGGTGGGGTGGGGTGGGCCCAAGCCCACCCTTCCACAGCCCCCATCATCTGGCCAAAGCAGGCTTGGTGTTCATCCTCGTGGCGCTGGCCCAGGGGGCGGGGCAGGCAGTCAAACGGGTCCAGCGGGTACCTGGGACCTGGAGGGGTGGCCCCAGATGAGCACCCTCCCCCTGGGAGGGTACTTTTGAGCCCAGCTGCAGGTAGGCCGGAAACGGTCAGAACGGGCAGGGACACGCCACTGGCCAGAGGGAGGAGGCGTCCACAGGTAGGAAGGGTCCCACTGGCCGGCTGGGGTCTGTCATTGCTCTGTGGGTGTCCCCTGGCTCCTGTGCTTGGCTCCTTTCTCAGCAGAGTTCCTTTCCCAGCCTAGGTGTCAATGTCGCTTCCACTGGGGTGTTGTATGGTCCTCCAGGTTCTCTCCGCCGAGCTCCTGAGGGCTGCATATCTCTGCTCCTCTCTAGGTTAGGTCTTTTCCATCCCCGTCTGGAGTCCTCACCATCTCCGTGTTCAAATTGTCTACATTTCCAATTCAGGAACTGGTCCCCTGTGGGTCCATTCCTATCCCCAGTCTCTGCCTCGGGCCTCCCCATCTCCCCTGCTCCTGGACGTAACTGTACCCTTCTCGGGATGGTCCAGCTCTGTACTGGGGAATCCTCTCTAAAGTACAGTCCTCAGTCTTCCCTGGATTCCCTGGTGGTCTCAGAACCCACTCCATGCTCCACTGCCTTCTTCCCTGCCTGACCTCCTCTCCTCGCAGGTCCGTCCCGATGCCCTGCCCTCGGCCGTTCTGGCTCCGCCATTCCCGGGCCCCCCAGGGCTCGGGTCCCAGCTCCCCAAGCAGAGGGGAGGACCAGGAGGAGGAGGAGGAGGAGGAGGGGGACGGCAGCCCAGGCTCCAGCCCCATCCTGTCCC